CAGGGGCAAAGCAAGAAAACCCATTCACAAAAAGTCGCTTAATTCACTTTTTGTGCCTCCTTTGCTCTAATTCTTTTCGGTGCGGGGAGAGAGCCGCCTAACTTAAAAAGAAGGAGAAAAAAGAAAAAAAAAAAAAGGCAGGAGAATGAGATGCTAGAGCCAATAAACACACATCAAAGCCTGAGATGGCTCCGCTTCAACTGCCTACAGTGCTCAACCTGGGATAGATTAAGGCAGGATAAAAAGGTGCGAGGAGGGAAAACGCTGCCCCTGCAGCAGGGCAGACCCTCTCCTCCTCCTCCTCACTTGCTCCACGCCAAGATCTCAACCAGTGAGAACACCCCATAGACCTTCACCCACCGTCATCTCCACGCCAGGAGGAGGCTTGGAGCCCCTTCTCCCTGTGGAGGGGGGGAGCTGGGTTTAGGGATTCTGCGAGTCACAATTAACCAGGGGACGTGGGACCAAAGGTTTAGCACAGGGCATTAAACCTGGCCACCTGGGCTGTCACAGAATCACAGGATCTTCATGGTTGGAAGGGAGCTTTGAGATCAGCGAGTCCAACCACAAAAAAAAACAAAATTAAAAAAAAAAACCAACAAAACACTACACCAAAAAAACCCCACGGGCACAACCCAACAATCTGGGCCACCAGAGCATGTCCTGAAGTGCCACATCTATACATTTCTTTAATCCCTCCAGGGATGGTGACTCCACCACCTCCCTGGGCAGGCTGTTCCAGGGCCTGACCACCCTCTCAGCAAAGTCATTCTTCCCAATATCTAATCTCAACCTCCCCTGCCCCAACTTCAGACCATTTCCTCTGGTCCTGTCATTATTCCCTTGGGAGAAGAGGTCAACCCCCACCTCTCCACACCCTCCTCTTAGGGAGGTGGGAGAGCAATGAGGTCTCCCCTCAGCCTCCTCTTCTCCAAACTCCACATGCTCAGTCAACTTGGTTGTTCCAAGAAGCCAGAAACAAACTGAAGTCACAGCCCCAGATGTTACTCACGTTTTACGAGCTGCAGCGTTATCCCCGGTTACAGCCACGGTTTCTGCCTCTTAAAACAGACCTGCAGCGCCGGGGGGATGAAATTCTCCCAGCCCAACAACACACAGGCAACTTGGCAAAAAGGACTTTGGGACAGCTCAGCATTTTACATACGCACACGATCCCCGTTTCCCTTTTCGCCCAGCCCCACCCTGAGAAGTATAATACGTGTTAGAGCAGCCAAAAAACATGAGATCACGCCAGGATAAGAGTCATCCGTTGCCATCAGCTGAGGCGAGGATGCGACTGCTCAGACCCCCCCCATTTCTCTCCGGTGAAAAACACACTCAGCCTCCTCGTCCCACTTCTTCCACTGCAGGGAAATCAAGTTGCTGGGATCCCTGCTGGATGACCTGCTGGAGAGCAGCTCTTGAGGAGAAAGACCTGGGAGTCCTGGTGGACAACAGGATGCCCATGAGCCAGCAGTGTGCCCTCATGGCCAAGAAGGCCAATGGTCTCTTGGGGGGCATCAGGAAGAGTGTGAGCAGCAGGTGGAGGGAGGTCATCCTGCCCCTCTGCTCTGCCCTGGGGAGGCCCCATCTGGAGCACTGGGTCCAGTTCTGGGCTCCCCAGTTCAAGAAGGACAGGGAACTGCTGGAGAGGGGACAGCAGAGGGTACAAAGATGATGAGGGGCATAGAGTATCTCCCTTATCGAGGAAAGGCTGAGGGACTTGGGTCTGTTCAGTCTGGAGAAGAGAAGGCTGAGGGGGGATCTGATCAACACCTATAAATACTTCAAGGGTGGGTGTCAGGAGGATGGGGCCAGGCTTTTTTCAGTGGTGTCTAGGGACAGGACCAGAGGAAAAGGGCACAAACTTGAACATGGGAAGTTGCACCTAAACATGAGGAGGAACTTCTTTGCTGTGAGGGTGGCAGAGCCCTGGCAGAGGCTGCCCAGAGAGGTGGTGGAGTCTCCTTCTCTGGAGACATTCAAACCCCACCTGGACACGTTCCTGTGGGACCTGCTCTGGGTGGCCCTGCTCTGGCAGGGGGTTGGACTGGATGATCTCCAGAGGTCCCTTCCAACCCCATGCCATTCTGTGATCCGCTCTAAGTTTTAAGCAAGCCTGGAAAGGGAAGACTGCTGTTCTTCCCAGGATGTCTTACCCTCAACACCCCGGGGGAGGAATGAAGGGATTTCCCCATCATTTACAAAGGAAATCTGAAACACCCCGTGAGCCAAAGCCACCCCCCAAGCCCGTTTCTCTCCTCCACACCCGGGAGGCTACGGAAGGCAGCGCTGGAAGAGCCGGGCTGACACGGCAACGGCAAGAAAGCCCTCTCGTGGAAACGGCCAGCATCACCCACCCCAGCCCTCCTCCCCTAGAGCATCATCCCCCCCCACAACCCCGGGCTGGGGATGGAGTTGTCCACCTCTGCCCATCCCTTTCCCAAGGGATAACAACCACCCTTTCGCCCGCACCCCACAGGGCGACTCGGGGGGGCTGCCCCATTTGTGGGCAAGGTCTGCTTTGCAAGAAAGGGTGGGACAAGCAGTCAAAATTTCATTTTGCTGGCAGCCCGGAATATCTCAGAAAAGTTAAAACTCTTCCTTTCCTCTTCTCATCCCCACTCTCCCCCCCTCCCCACCCCAAATCCGCCTAAATTCATGGTATTTTAGCTTACGCCAACAAAAGCTGTACCTCGGCCACAACAAATACAGAAACATTAAGTGCCTTCCAGGGAGGGTCAAACGTTTGAATCATTTTAACACACTATACAGATATTTCAGCGAGAGCAGATTGATAAAGAAGGCGCATCCGCGCGTTACGCTCCACGGTCAAGTTTGAAGGGTTCCTTCCAAATAATGAGAAAAAAGGACAAAGAATGCACCCCCTTTCTCCCGACAGCATCATCCCTATCGTTTGCTCTCAGGGTTCACACTTTGGAGACAGAACAAACGCCGCTCCTTACAAAAAGGGCTGAATAGCCAAATAATCATTTCACTGGGAGAACCCACCAAAGATTTGGAAGTAAAAGAACTCTTGAAGAACACCACACGCTTTTTACCCACGGGTAAAAACCCAGGGCAAGCCCGTGCTCACAATTTGCCTACACCCAAGCCAGGCACACAGCCATCTCTGCCACACTCCTGCCCAAGCAGCTTTGGTAGCCACTGGCTACTGAGCGAAATAAATGCCGTGCCGAGAGTCTATTCATTGTGTTCAAATTTTCCTCTTATTATAGAAAATACAAGCGGCAATCAGGCCGAGCTTACTAATTGCTGAGAGAAGTGCTAAAGAAAAAAAAAAAAAAGGAAGAAATTAAAATTTCCAGACTTCACAGCAAACCACCACCCAAGTACAAAACGCTACTCGCTCGCTCCCACATTGAAATACAAAAGTTATGATCAAACTTTTAAGCGTCCAGGGCTTACAAACCCCACGTTGTGGGGGTCACAAACCCCTCTCTGGGGGGGGGGGTCACACACCCCACAGGTCTCAGCGGGGTGGCACCTCGCCAGAGGGGTGGTGGGAGCTATAAATCTATATATAAAGCAGGGGGCTGCCCCCCCGGGGCGGTGTGAGTGCCGTCTGGGGGTGGAAGAGAACATCTCCACGGGGCTGAAGTCAAGAAAGGTGGGGAGCTCACCCCTCAACACCAAACTTTGGGGGGGTGACACCCCAAAAAGCGACAACCACAGGGCAGAGCCTCCGGTCACCCAGCGCCTCCTCCCCTTGCCCGGTGGGCTCCCGGGAGAGGGGGGGAATGAGGGGCTGGGACAAGGTGGGGCAATATAAAATACAGAAATACGGAGGATGGGCTGCGAGACCGACCCGGGACTGACCACCAGGGAGGCTCCCCGGGTTGCCGGCCCCCCGGAGCGGTGCTACCGGCCGGTTTAACCGGGGACACCCCCCCGGCAGCTCCCGCAACCCCCGAAACAACGCGGTGGTGGCGGATGGGGTTGGGGGGGGGAACAAAATCCCCTCCTTCTATCTACCCTTCAACCCTCCCTCCATCCATCCCTCCCCCGGCGTGTCCCCGGGCCGGCACCCCCGCACGTCCCGGGGCGGTGCGGTGCCAAGCCCCGCAGAGCCCCCTGGAAGGGGAGAGGCTGGGGGGGACGACGACGACGACGACGACGACACACACACACACAC